TTAACAGTAAATAAATACAACTCAACATTAAATTATTTATTAAACACTGTTAATCCAACACAGGCAGGCACTCAAGGAAAGATTAAAAGTAAATAATACAACTCAACATTAAATTATTTATTAAACACTGTTAATCCAACACAGGCAGGCACTCAAGGAAAGATTAAAAGTAAAAAGAACTTGGCAAACGCAAACCCTGTCCGTTTACCAAAAACATCACCTCTAGCATAACTAGTATTACAGGCACTGCCTGGCCAGTGACAACTGTTAAATGGCCGCAGTATCCTGACCATGCAAAGGTAGCATAATCATTTGTTCTCTAAATAAGGACTTGTACGAATGGCCACACGAGGGTTTTACCGTCTCTTACTTTCAATCAGTGAAGTTGACCTTACCGTGAAGAGGTGGGAATAACAAAATAAGACGAGAAGGCCCTATGGAGCTTTAATTAATTAAGCAAAAAAACCCTAATTAAACCACCAAGGGATAACAAAATTTTACATGGGGTGACAATTTTGGTTGGGGTGACCTTGGAACACAAAAAAGGCTCTGAGTGATTAAGTCTAGACTTACCAGTCAAAACATATCATCACTAATTGATCCAAAAAATTGATCAACAAGTTACCCTAGGGATAACAGCTCAATCCTACTCTAGAGTTCATATCAACAATACGGTTTATGACCTCGATGTTGGATCAGGACACCCCAATGCTGTAACCGCTATTAAAGGTTTGTTTGTTCAGTGATTAAAGTCCTACATGATCTGAGTTCAGACCGGTTTCTATCTACTATATAGTTCTCCCAGTATGAAAGGACAAGAGAAATAAGGCCCACTTTAAAAAGTGCCTTAAAACCAATTAATGGTATAATCTTAATTTAATTAATACATATAATATATTACTCAAGACCAGGGTTTGTTAAGGTGGGGCAGAGCCCAGTAATTGCATAAAACTTAAACCTTTATAACCAGAGGTTCAAATCCCCTCCCTTAACAAAATGTTTATAATTAATATCTTAATACTTGTTATCCCCATTCTTCTAGCCGTAGCATTCCTAACACTAATTGAACGAAAAATTTTGGGTTATATGCAACTTCAAAAAGGGCCAAATATCGTAGGACCATGTGGCCTATTACAGCCCATTACTGAGGCAGTCTAATTATTCACTAAAGAACCACTACGACCAGCTACCTCCTCCATTTCCGTATTTATCATTGCACCAACCCTAGCCCTAACCCTAGCCCTAAACATATGAATTCCCCTACCCACTTATTAATATAAGTCTAGGAGTATTATTTATGCTAGCTACATCAAGGCTAGCTGTATACTCCATTTTATGATCCGGATCAGCTTCCAACTCAAAATACACATTAATTGAAGCCCTACAAGCAGTAGCACAAACAATTTCATATGAAGTAACACTAGCAATTATTCTTTTATCAGTCCTCTTAAGAAACAGGTCTTTTACCCTCTCAACCTCCATCACAACACAAGAGCATTTATGAAAAATTTTCCCATCATGACCCTTAGCTATAATATGATTTATTTCCACTCGAGCAGAAACTAACCGAGCTCCCTTTGACCTAACAGAGGGAGAACCTGAACCTGTATCAGGCTTCAACACAGAATATGCAGCAGGCCCATCTGTCATATTCTTCTTAGCAGAATACGCCAACATTATCATAATAAACATTTTCTCAACAATCCTATTTCTAAGAGCGTTCCATAACCCCTACATACCAGAACTATACAAAATCAACCTTATCATCAAAACACTATTACTAACAATTTCTTTCCTATGAATTCAAGCATCCTACTCTCGACTCTGATACGATCAGCTAATACATCTACTTTGAAAAAACTTCTGACTACTAACACTAGCCATATGCATATGACATGTCTCACTACCTATTATAACATCAGGCATTCCTCCACAAACATAAGAAATATGTCTGATAAAAGAGTTACTGTGATAGAGTAAGCTATAGAGGTTTAAATGCTCTTATTTCTAGAATCATAGGAACTGAACCTATGCTTAAGAATTCAAAATTCTTCGTGCTACTACATTACACCATAATATATAGTAAGGTCAGTTAAATAAGTTATTGGGCCCATGCCCCGAAAATGTTGGTTTATATCCTTCTCGTATTATTAAACTCCATCATCTCGGGGACCATCATTGTAATAACCAGCTCCCACTGACTACTTATTTGAATCGGTTTTGAAATAAATATACTAGCCATTATTCCCATTACAATAAAAAAGTTTACCTCATGAGCTATAGAAGCATCCACTAAATAGTTTCTAACACAGCTACCGAATCCATATTACTTATAATAGCCGTTATCACTAACCTATTATACTCCAGCCAAGGAACTATTACAAAAATCTTTAATCCAACAGCATCTATAGTAATAGCAATAGCCCAAACCATAAAACTAGGACTATCTCCATTCCACTTCTGAGTACCTGAAGTTACACAAGGCATCTCATTAACAGCATGCTTAATCTTATTAACATGACAAAAACTTGCACCCTTGTCAGTATGATACCAAATCTCACCATCCATCAGCCTAAACCTAATATTATCCATATCCATACCATCTATTATAATCGGAGGATGAGGTGAACTAAACCAAACCCAACAATGAAAAACTACAGCTTATTCATCAATTGCTCACATAGGGTGAATAACAGCCATTATATTGTAAAACCCAACTATAACAATCCTTAACCTACTAATATATATCGTAATAACACTTCCCATATTCATACTATTCATTTACAGCTCAGTCACCACCACACTACCACACACAAAATAAAATACCCATTATTACAACCCTCATTCTCATCACCCTATTATCAATAGGAGGTCTTCCTCCACTATCAGGACTTATGCCTGAATACTCATTCAAGAAAAAACAAAAAAAAACAATATTATTTTACCCACACTAATAGCTATCACAGCGTTACTCAATCTGTACTTCTACATACGACTCACGTATTCTACAGCACTAACTATATTTCCCTCTATAAATAAAAGTAAAATGACAATTTGATTTGACAAAACAACTTTCCTACCAACAGTAACTGTAATATCCACAATACTCTTATCCCTTACACCAATCCTTTCAGTATTGGACTAGGAATTTAGGTTACACAGACCAGGAGCCTTCAAAGCACTAAGCAAGTATAAGTTACTTAATTCCTGCTCAATAAGGATTGCAAGACTATATCCTACATCAATTGAATGCAAATCAAACACTTTAATTTAAGCTAAATCCTCACTAGATTGGTGGGATTACATTTCCCACGAAACTTAGTTAACACCTAAATACCCTAGTCAACTGGCTTCAATCTACTTCTCCTGCTGCAAGAAAAAAAAAAAAAAAAAAAAGCGGAATTGAAGCTGCTTCTCTGAATTTGCAAATTCAATATGTAAAATTCACCACAGCACTTGGCAAAAAGAGGACTCAACCCCTGTCTTTAGATTTACAGTCTAATGCTTACTCAGCCATTTTACCTACATTCTTAAACAGCTGACTATTCTTAACTAACCATAAAGATATCAGTACCTTATATTTACTGTTTGGTGCTTGGGCTGGAATAGTAGACACTGCCTTAAGCCTGTTAATTCATGCTGAATTAGGCTAACCTAGAACACTGCTAGGAGATGATCAGATTTACAATGAACTTGTAACAGCCCGTGCATTTGTAATAATTTTTTTTATAGTTATGCCTATCACAGTTGGAGGCTTCAGAAACTAACTAGTCCCACTAATGCTGGGGCACCCAATATAGCCTTTCCCCATATAAACCATACAAGCTTCTGATTACCTCCACCCTCCTTCCTACTACCACTTGCATCATCAATAGTTGAAGCCAGTGGCGGTGCAGGCTGAACTGTATATCCACCCTTAGCTGGAAACCTAGCCCATGCTGGAGCTTCAGTAGACCTTACCACCTTTTCCCGACATCTAGCAGGTGTCTCCTCAATTTTAGGTGCTATTAATTTTATTACTACAATTATTAATATAAAGCCACCCACTATACCCCAGCATCAAACACCACTATTTGTAATGATCCGTTTTAATTACAGCTGTATTGCTGCTATTATCATTACCTGTATTAGCAGCCAGGATTACTATGCTATTAACAGACCGACACCTAAACACAACCTTTTTTGACCCCGCGGGAGGGGGTGATCCAATCTTATATCAACACCTATTCTGATTCTTCGGACAACCTGAAGTCTATATGCTGATTTTACCTGGATTTGGAATAATCTCACATATTGTAAATTATTATTCAGGAAAAAAAAAAAGAGCCTTTTGGATATATAGGTAAGTATGAGCCATAATATCAATGGAATTTTTAGGATTCATTGTATGAGCTCACCGTATGTTTACAGTAGGTACAGATGTCGACACACGAGCATATTTTACATCAGCCATTATAATTATTGCTATTTCCGCAGGAGTAAAAGTATTTAGTTGACTAGCAACCCTTCATGGAGGTAATATCAAATGATCTCCCACCATAATATGAGCCCTAGGCTTCATTTTCCTTTTTGCAGTAAGTGAATTAACAGGAATTGTCCTAGCTAACTCATCACTAGACATTGTCCTTCACGATACATATTATGTAGTCGCACACTTCCACTACATATCAACAGGAGCAGTACTCACCATTATGGGAGGCTTCGTACATTGATTCCCACTATTCTCTCAGGTTATACACTCAACTCAACATGAGCAAAAATTCACTTTGTAATTATATTTGTAGCTGTAAATACAACCTTCTTCCCACAACATTTCCTAGGTCTATCTGGAATACCATGACAATATTCCGACTACCCAGATGCATACACAAAATGAAATACTGTCTTATCCATAGGCTCATTTATTTCACTAACGGCAGTAATATTAATAATTTTCATAATTTGAGAGGCATTAGCATCAAAACGAGAAGTCTCAACAGTAAAGCTAGCATATCTCCCAGGAGAATTTGGGAGGGGCAGAAGAAGGAGGAGAAGACCGATCTACCAGAGTCCTTCTCGCTGGAATCCATCTTGGCTGAGAGACGCACGCACCACCAGGAAGGACCCTGAATCAGACTGTGGGCCAAGCGAGACGACTGGCCAGAGACAACCCAGAAACTAACCCATTACCACAAAACCTGAGCCTGCGAGGCACGTGGCAGAGCGGTTCTCCTGGGTTCCCCCAGGCTCTCTGCCTTGGGGTTCCTTCCCAATAAAGTCTTTTGCTTTGTCAGTACGTGTGTCTCATCGGACAGTTCCTTTCCGAGTGTTAGACAAGAGCTTACTCTCCGGCCCTGGAAGGCCCTGCAACACCTGCACCGCCTCCTCCTCAAGGTGCTGCAGTCTCCCTGGCCCAACAAATTCATTCTTCAAGCACACCCAATGCCTAGCCCCGGGGCCTTTTGCACGTATTCTTCCTGCCTAACAGACCCCCTGCCACCATTCTCCAGTTTAACATCCTAATTATTCCTTCACTGTACTTAAAACTTAGCATGTTTACTTAGTTTCCTTCCATTGTCTCCACTAGAGCATAAACTCCCTAAGAAAACCTGCCTTATTAGCACTTCTCACCATGTAGCACAGCACACGGTAGGTGTGCGAGAAATGCATGCTGAGTGAATAAGATTTCGAAGCACTACTTCCTGGCCAAACTCAGTACTCTGAGACCCAGCTAGAAACCGCATGGAAAATGCTGAGAAATAGAAGCTGTAGTCCACCATCAAGTGCCCTTTCTCTGCATTTTCTCCTGGCCCCTTGGGCCCCAGGCAGTGTCCAGGATGAGGCCATCCCTATCCATCCATCAGGAAGGGCAGCACCCAGTCCCTGCAGAGTCACCCCGGGCAAGCCCTGTGTATCGCGTCTGGTCCTCACACCAACCTGCCACACGGGAACGGCATACCCCATTTTGCAGATGGGAAAACTGAGGCTCAGAGAGCTGAAATAAATGGCATAGCTCAGCTTTGAACCAGCAATCTGGAGCCACAGCCCGGGCTAAGCACCTCAGGAGGGAGGCTGTGCCGCCCACAGAACCTCTCTCCCAAAATCATGGATGAGCACACCCACCTGTGAACTTCCAGAGCCACTCCAGGCCAATCCGGACCTTCCTCAGGGGCTTTTGTGCTGAGTGGAGGGTGATGGGGGAGGTGCACGCCTGCTGGATGTATATCTCCAGGTGGTCTTGGAGGTTCTGGCCAACTCCTGAAACCAGAGGGGCTGGTTAGGAAAATGTCTCCCAAAGGGGCTTAGCTGGCCTCTCAACATCCCCTGGTTTTGAAAACTTTTCCTCCACCCACTTATCTGCCAGGCCAGCTCCTGCTCATTCCCAGGGACACCACTCCCTCACTCCCAGCCATGTCTGGCCCTCTCAGATGCTGCCAAAGCTGCCTGCCCTTGACACTCGCTCCCAGGGCAGCACCTGTAACCATCCAGGTGCCTTCCTGCTAAGCCAGCACCCTCCACCGGGGCAGTGCCCACGCCTCCAGCGGGCACTACTCAGTGAGCTGTCCCGGGACGGCTGACCCTGCACCCTCACCCCTGGCCTGGGGAAGGAGGGAAGCAGGCCTGTCACGCTGTGCAGACCCAGCATGAGCCCATCCAAGCTCAAGGGGACACTGGGCGGGTCACTGTCATGGACCAGCACTTTCAAAGACCTCTTATGATAAAGCTTCAAGCTCTGGGAGCTTGAGTTATAAGAGAGGGCAAGAGGGACAGGGACAGGCTCCAAAGGGCATCAGAAACAGTCTATGAAATAAATATTAGGCCGGGAGAACCATCTGAACATGAACAGCATGTCAGGGTAGCTAGTGTGTCCTGAGGACGGAAAACACAAAGGCCCCGACCCCTCTTGCCACACGGCTGCCCTGTTGACCTGCCTGAGCCGGGCCCAGTGGGCTTTACGGGCAGACGCTCCCTGCTAGAGGTGCCTCGCTGCTGAGAGGGATGGGATGTCTGGGGAAGGGAGGAAAACGACACAAAAGCTTGGGGTTTCGCTGGGGGTAGGAGTCCAGCGAGGCCTGGGGGACCTTCAGGCTCGTGGGAACAATGTGACAGTTCTGAGGGGCCCTGACTCCTGTCCCCTCCCCACTCCATGCTAATAAAGTATAATAAACTTTTATTTAACAGGGACACCTCTGGGGCGCAGTGGGGAAGGGAGCTCACCAGGAAGGTGGCACACCACCGGGATGCCCAGTTGCTTGAGGTCGTCGGCATTGCCCACGCCCGACAGCATGAGCAGCTGTGGAGAGTTGATGGCACCTCCACTCAGGATCACCTCCTTGCTGGCGAAAGCCTGGAAGAGGCGAGGGGCCAGGCAGCTCACACTTTCCCAGAAAAGCCAGTCAGAACCCCAAGAATACGGCCTTGGCATGACGCACCCACATGGTGGGTGGGGATCCTGCCCACAGGCTCCAGAGCAAGGAAGAGGATGCTCTGGGCGCCACTAGGTGAAAGTAGCCCACACGTGCAGCTGTGGGTGTGTGTGATCATAAATCAAGTGTGGTTCATGCTCTGATATATTCTGCAACAGCCTGACAGTAACGATGGTCTTAAAAACAGGACTGTAGAGCTTAAATGAGATAAATGGAAGCAGGCACTCAAACAAGCAGTTTAAATAAAGCACATGGTGAGAGAGATCTTCACATGGGATGCAGAACAATCCCCACATGCTCCTAAGTGGAAAACAGCACAGTGCAGAAATAGGGAGTGTGATCACAGGTATGGTTTTTAAAGCCTCTGATATAAACCTATCAATTTCTGGACAAGTGTGGAAGGCAACAGCAGAAAGAGGTTCATGGGGGCACTCATGCCCGGGCACCATGGGCCCTGTGCAGGTGGCTAGACTGGGGCTTCCTCACCTCTGCCAGGCCACCACCTCCTGGGGACAGTCTTTCAGGCTGTTGCCACCAGCCGCTCACTCCTTATCATCATGTTGATGGCGATAAGGACATGACTCCTGCCCACCCACACTGACTGAGCATGACCACGGGGTCACTGCCCACTCCCTCCCTGCCATGTGAGCTGCCCATGTGGTGGTAATTCACTCACCCTGTGGCTCTGGCCGTTCTTGATGTACTCCACACCCACTGCACGGGTACCTTCAAACAGCACCCTGCTCACAAATGTCTGGGTCTCAGCCGTGAGGGTGGGGCGGCTCAGTGCCGGATGCAGGTACGCACAGGCCGTGCTCCAGCGCTTGCCTGCAGGACAGAGCAAGGAGATCAGTCACAGCCCCAGCCTGTTCCCTAGGCACCTATCGTGGAGGGGGAGGTAGGGAAGGACTGCAGAAAGAGGGAATTTGTCCTTCCCCTGACTGTGCAAGTTCTGCCTTCAAAGGAAGGCTGAGACCAAAATACCCTGTCCAACTGACATCCACATCTACCTGGGGCCCCCGGATGCAGGTGGGAAAACATCCCTCACCCTTGACAGGACGACAGAGACCAGGAGTGGCTGATAATGAGAGCCCTGGGTCCACCCGGGCCTTGCCTCTGCCCTGCTGCAAGGCCCGTCACTGCTCTGTGCCTCAGTACGCCCATCTGTGAGGCTTTAAAACTCGGGGCTGTGTGGCCGGAGAGCTGCCTCTTCATTCCACACCAACAGGGGCCAGAGGATGCCCAAGGGGTCACCATCTCCGAGTCACTTCTCATTGGCTTTGAATGGTATTCTGTGGCCTGTCGCCAGTGTAATCTGTCATATCCCCTCCACCTCAAACCAGTCCCAGTCTGTCCACACTTACTGACCATGACAGGTGGGGGCAGGAGGGTCGGGACTGTGATAGAGCAGCGTTTCGTTTTTAGAGGAGGAACCTGGGAGATGGGGAATCGGAGGCCTCGCGCTACCTTCGTGGATGGTCATATCCATCCAGCCGAAGCCCTCTTGCTGGAAGCCGTTCATGTCCTCGGTGAGGGGGTAGCCGGCCTCCTGCGCCGCCTCCAGGAACGCGCGGTGCAGCGGGTGGCCGCTCTTGCCCCGGGACACCCGCAGGGGGCCGTCGCCGCCGCGGTACCTCCCGGCACCCAGCTCGTGCGCCTGCGCCTTGCGGAAGTAGGGCAGGCAGTGCGCGTAGTCCCAGCCCGCCGCGCCCTCCCGCTGCCAGCGCTCGTAGTCCTCGGCGTGCCCACGGATGTAGACCATGGCATTGAGCGACGACGAGCCGCCCCAGACCCGGCCACGTGGCCAGTACAGCACGCGGCCGTCCAGGCCCGGCTGCGGCTCCGTGTGGTAGCACCAGTTGTACCTGTCATCGCACAGGTTGGCCACGAGGGCTGCGGGCATGTGGATCTTCCACAGGAGCCGCTTGCTCCCCGCGTACACATCCTTGGGCCCGGCCTCCAGCAGCAGCACTCGCTTGTCGGGGTCCTCCGTGAGCCGGCCGGCCAGCACGCAGCCAGCGGAGCCCGCACCCACCACCACGTGGCTGTACTCACCCCCAATCCGGGGGCGCTCGCTGGCCAGAGCACGGATGCCCCGGGGCCAGTGCTGCCCCAGGGCTCCCCATGGGCCCAGGCTCCCTCGCCTCCAGCCTCGAAGGATGCACCACATGCTTCCAGCCCAAGTCCTCTTACTTCCACGGGGCGAATGTGATGATTCACTTCCCCTAAAACAGAAAAAGAGGCTTTGAAACGTTTAACTCAGCATGCACTGCAGAATCAGCCCAAAGCTAGGGCAGCAAAGGGCCCCTGCAGGCCCGCCAGGTGCCTGCCGGGCGCTGGGTGGGGCAGGCCTGGCTGGCACGTCACTGCCCGCCCTGGGGAACCAGGAGGAACGAGCGGAAGCACAAGCAGGAATATCAGTCCTGTGGGACCGACGAGCACACGGCTGGGGGCACTGGAGTGGGGAGGTCCCCAGAAAGGCTTCCCTGTGACATCTGTGCATGAACCTGGAGGCCGGGCAGGAGTCTACCTGCTGGAAAACAGGGGCTTTCCAGGTTTACCCTCACTCCTCATCTGTTCAAGACAGTAAGACAGTTGCTGAGTCCCTACCACGTGCCAGGCACCACTTCCTCTCCAGCAATACTCAGAAAACAAGGCATCTGCTCTCAAAACTGATGGTCTGGGACTAGGGAGACAGACAAGACTTACATAAATAACCAAAGGAAGGTCAGGGTGAGAGGCTGGAGACTAAAGAGCTCAAAGCCTTTGACCTAAGGGCCCCCCAGAGTGCATGAGAGGGCTTTTCAGCAGGTGATGGGGTCAGAGCTACAATCTTTCAAGATCACTCTGTTGAGTGCTGGAGTTTTAA